CGGGACTCTCCACGGCCCCGGGCGGTTCCCGACACCCAGGCATGATCCCGTTCCCGGCTCCTCTCAGGTTTGGGGTGAAAGGTGCGCTTTGGGACACGGCAGACGTGGAAAGAGTACAGGCCTCCCTCCTCGCAAAAAAACATTGCCAGCAAAAAGAAGCAGCCTTCCGGCACATCTGCTGCTGCTGCTGCTGTCTGGCAGCCAAGAGCGTGCGGTGGCGCTCTGGGGCTATTCCATACTCCACATGCTTTTATACAATAGCGAATGGGGTTTACCTCTCCTTCCCCTTGCTCTACCCACCCCCGGCTTGGTTTAATTTGTTGTTTTGTGTTTTTTTAACATAATTTTAAAGGAGGGGAGAACATCAGCATGTTACTAGCAGAGCTTGCTAGGGGATAAAAATAACGCACCTTGATAAATAAAAACAGAAATCGATCAAATTGTGTTTTGAATCCGTAGTTGGTTGGTATATAAGGCTGTTTCTGATCATCCTGTCCTTTATGAGGCGAGCCTCATTTCAATCTCATGCTTTGCTTGTTTTTCTTCTGCTCCGTTAATAAAATGGGTCTTTTCCCAACCTCTGATAGTTTCTCGGCTTTGGATGGTCAAGTTCTTGAACTAAATGGAATAAAATAAAATGCAGAAACTCTTCTCATTGCAGCCACAAGACGACAACTGTTCAAAGCTGTTTGTTTTCAACAAACTTGAATTTGGGGGGCTTAGCTGATGAGTTCTGCCAGTTTAGTAATAGCAGCTTTCTTAGGGGCAACCAGTGTGTGGGAGTTCAGCAATGAGGAGTTCAGTACACTTCGCCTTGCACTGCAAGGATTCTTAGAATTAGAGGAAGAAAATGTGCAGGGATCCAGCAGTGCCTGTGAGGGGTTTTGAATGTTCATGCAAGGAAGCTGTAAAGACAGGCTGTTCCTTGATGTTTACAGTTGTGCTACCCTACAGTGCTTATGTTGTGAGAATGAATGTGCAGGGAGCAGAATAAGGAACCATGGTTGCTAAAATGTGTCATTAATAAAAAATAATTGAATATGTCTTAAGATGAAGATTAAATTCAGAGAAATGCTTTAAATGTAATAATTAGATACTTTCAAAATCACACCTCCTGTGCAGGCAACACAGCTCCTTTCTCTGCGCTTGACAGTTAAAAATGCTTGGCATTTCATAACTGGAAGAGGTTTTTAAGCATGCTTTTATGTCAGGTGCTTTTCAAGAGTGTAATGGTGCTTATGTATTCTTTAGGAAATGTCAACCTTCTGCTTTGGTAGGAAATTCTTATTTATTATGGAACATGGAAAAGTTTTTCTTCTATGTTGCAGACAGCTGTGAATGAGATGAACACAGGAGTGGTAACAGATTTCCTGATGAGTATGTGAATACCAGTGGGGAGCACAGGGATGGAGTCTGGCATGGAGGAGATCCCAGTTAAAGTCGCAGTTCGAATCAGACCTCTGCTTTCCAAAGAAGTACTTCATAACCATCAAGTGTGTGTGCGATTAGTCCCAAATACACAACAGATTATTATTGGGAAGGACCGTGTCTTCACTTTTGATTTTGTATTTGGCAAAAACTCAACCCAAGAAGAAGTTTACACGGTTTGCATTAAGCCTCTTCTAGTGTCATTGACTGAGGGATACAATGCTACAGTGTTTGCGTATGGACAGACAGGTTCTGGGAAGACTTACACCATCGGAGGTGGCCACATTGGTAGGTTGTAGAAGGTTTTTCTTTTCAGGGTTTTTCTGAACTGGTGAACAGTGTAGTTGTGCAACGTAAATATTTAACATATAGCAGATGATGCTGCAAAACTTTAAGGTATAGTGAGTAAAAAGGTAGACTAAAAAAAATAGCTTCCAAAGTTCATGTGATAATTAAACTGTTCTAAAAACAAATTCTCCATAAATTCACTTTATCTAAGAAACAAACCAGTTTACAAAGCGCTTTGTCTCATTCCCCATTTTTAACATGCAGCTTAAACTAGAATTTCTTCCTGAAATGCAGTGTTTTGGAGATTCTTGCTGTGTTTATCTTACCTTGAAAATGTCTGCTTTAGGCAAGCAATTGTTTGCTTCCTCAATCTGGTTTTCGATTGTTTTTTTTTTTCTTTGAGAAATTTCTGTGACAACATATAAATATATGATTTAAGTCTTTCAAATGGATATAAATAGATTATTCTAAATATCTTGGTAGTTATTAAAAATCTTCCTTTTATTTAGAATCATAGAATTTTTTAGGTTGGGAAAGACCCTTAAGGTTATCAAGTTCAATCATTAGCCTAACGCCACCAAGCTCACCATAAAACCATGTCCCGAAGCACCACATCTACACATCTTTTAAATACCTCAAGGGATGGTGACCCAATCACTTCCCTGGGCAGCCTGTTCCAATATCTGATCATCCTTTTGGTGAAGACATTTTTCCTAATATCCAATCTAAACCTTCCCTTGTGCAGCTTGAGGCTGTTTCCTCTTGTCCTGTCACTGGTTACTTGGGAGAAGAGACCGACCCTACCTCACTACAGCCTACTTTCAGGTAGTTGTAGAGAGCAATAAGGTCCCCTCTGAGTCTTCTCTTCTCCAAACTAAACACCCCCAGTTCCCCCACACAATCATAATGAGTAGGAATAAAGAAGAAGTCTATATCCTGATAGATTTGAAGTAGACTCCATATTTCTCTTAACTTCCATGACTATAACATTATGCAATTTAGACCTTAACTAGGAGTCCCATATGCAAACATTCTGAATCTCACAAAAACAAACGTTTACAGAAATCCGTGGGAACACTGAGCTCTTCAGGTTCCTTAGTATGTTGAGTAGCAGATCTCACAGACTTCTCTCAATCTTCAATCTTTTGTGATTTATGTGGCAAAATGACTGCAAGCTCCTGTGACATCTTTGCTTACATTTTAGCATCAGTTGCAGAGGATGAAAAGGGCATAATCCCACGGGCTATTCAGGAATTATTTCAGCACATTTCTGAAAACCGTAACATTGACTTCCATGTGAAAGTGTCTTATATAGAGGTTTACAAGGAAGAACTTCGAGATTTATTGGATTTGGAGACCTCTGTGAAAGAACTACATATCCGAGAAGATGAAAAGGGAAATACAGGTAGGATTTAAGTTCTAAAATTTGGTGTGTTGGGCTTCAGACATGTGCCCAAGTTATTCTTGGCTTCTCTTGAAAGAGCTTATTGATTACTAATACTAGAAAAAAAGTTATCTTTTTGGCGTATAAACTCAGTTTAGCTGATTTGAAGCAATTTTGGTTTTAGATGCCTGTGAACAATATATATGTTCCATCACAAGTGTCAACAAATTGTAAAGTAGAAATACAGTATTGCTTCTGCAGATTCTGTCTATAAACACAATAGTGTGTGATTATTTGCTTGAATAAGTATTTTACAGTTAACCTTTGCTTCTCCCTTCAAAATTATAATTGCTAAGCTGCTTGTACTCTAAATATCTGCCTGCCCTTTCACTATGAAATGAGTGGAAGAGAACATTCCATCGAGAATAGCATCTGATATTTTTTGGAAATTTTGACATTAACACTTATCCTGTAGTTCTTCTGTCCACCATATGAAAATGCTAGGAGAATCCACAACAGGGAGATTTTATTCTGAAACTGTATAATGTTTTTTGCTTCTTTCCGCATGTCATTCCCCCCACACACATATTCTTTGTATTGTAATTGTTGTGTTTGCTCTAATATTAATATATTGTTGTACTGTTATATTGAGCTGGCATAGTTTTCTTATCTGTAGCTGGAAGAAGGCACAAATTCAGCATAAATCTTGCAGACAATATCATTGCTTCATAAGGATCCCAAAGTATATAATATATTTTAAATTGTTTCTCTTCTTCAGTACAGTTGGAGTCAATTTCAGTAGGAGTTTTTCCATACTTCATTAAAACAAAGGACAAAAAATACACTCGGTGGAGTACTTGGTAGAAGTACACTTCCACATTATTAGTTTACTAATAGGTAACTGTCCAAAAGGCCCAACTACAAAAGCTACGTAGAAGTTCTGTTTGTATAGTCTAGGAATCATTTCTACTATCTACTTGTTTATTTTTAATCTTGATTTTGTTTTGTACTGATTTTAAACTGGCAAAATATCCTTTGAGCTGATTTTGGTCATGCTTGTCGTAGATAGCACTAGGTTGCAAATTGCATATGGATATGGCAGTGTGTGAGTAAAGCTGTGTACTGTGTTTAAGATACTATTTCAAATGCTGTGACACGATATGTCCATACATTAAATATCTGCTGGTTTCAGATGTGTTGTACCTTATGCTTTTCACATGTTGTCTTATTTTTCCATAGCTATATGCTATAATAATGCAGGCTTGTAGGTTTCTCTAGTATGTGCTTATAGTTTGACCTTTCCTAATTGCTGTAAAATTTTGCTGAAGAGTTTAAAATTAATTGAATTATTCCAACTTACTTTGGTTTGGTGTTTGAAGTGATTGTTGGGGCTAAGGAATTCCAGGTAGAATGTGCAGATGAAGTGATGACCCTGTTGGAAAGCGGCAATGCAGCTCGTCACACAGGAACAACACAAATGAATGAACACTCTAGTCGATCTCATGCCATTTTTACCATCAGTATTTGTCAGAAACGGTCTGTAGAGTCTCAGAAAAATACTGATGCTGCACAGAATTCATCTTGGAAATCGGCCGAGATGATTGCTTCGAAGTTTCATTTTGTGGACTTGGCAGGATCAGAGAGGGTGACAAAGACTGGAAATACTGGTGAACGCTTCAAAGAGTCAATTCAGATAAATAGTGGTCTGTTGGCCTTGGGAAATGTCATCAGTGCCTTAGGAGACCCAAAAAGGAAAAGTGTACATGTTCCATACAGGGATGCTAAAATAACTCGTATTCTGAAAGACTCACTTGGAGGAAATGCCAGGACTGTCATGATAACATGTATAAGTCCATCCTCATCAGACTTTGATGAATCTTTAAATTCGCTCAAATATGCCAACAGAGCCAAAAACATTAGAAATAAACCAGTTGTAAATTACAACCCTGATCAAGACCGGATTGATGAAATGGAACTTGAAATCAGATTGCTTCGAGAAGCTTTGCAGAACCAGCAAGTCAATAATCAGTGTTCACACAACGTAAATCAAGAAAAAAATCATATCAGTTCACTTGAGGAGCAGCTCACCCAGCTTCAGGTTCAATATTTCAGTTATAGAACTTGTGTAGATGAAGCCTTCCCATTTCTGGTTGATTTGAATGATAATATTAGCTTACAAAGAAGTCAGCGGGACAGGTTGCAAAGCTGGATTACTATGGTACAGGAAGTGAGGAAGGAAGATCTCATGATGCAGAAAGCTGACACAGGAACTGGAACTAGCCAAACACCACATCATACCACGATTCTTCAACTAAAGCAGGAACTAAAGAAATTCCAGGTATTTAATTAAAAATTGATTATTTAATGTAATGGGTTTAAACTTAAACAGGTGAAGTTCAGGTTAGATATAAGGAAGAAGTTCTTTACTGTGAGGGTGGTGAGGCACTGGAACAGGTTGCCCAAAGAAGTGGTCAGTGCTCCATCCCTGGCAGTGTTCAAGGCCAGGGTGGATGGAGTCTTGGGCAACATGGTCTAATGTGAAGCATCCCTGCTCATGGCAGGGGGGTTGGAATTAGATGATCTTAAGGTCCTTTCCAACCCTAACTATTCTATGATTTAAATAACTGTGTGAAAGAGCAGACTGCTAAAACTTTAATTCAGTTTTGAAAGATGTAAACTGCTACACTTACTTGTACTTAATTTGATAATTTACATTTAATTCACAATCTTGTATAATTTTGTGTAATCCCTGTGATATAGCTTTATTTTAATGGGTGATTGAATAGAAAATCATTTAATTGATACAGAAATAATTAAAGTAACGTTATATTTTGGCTAGTCAGTTTCAAGATGATTCTATGAGGCTGAGCTGTTTCATCTGCTAGATTTTTGTATTTAGGTCTGGCCAGGATGGAGTTAATTTTCTTCATAGCAGGTCGTTGTGTGCTGTGTTTTAGGTTTGTGACCAATACAATACTGATAACTCCGCAAGGCTTTAGGTCTTGCCAGACCGTGTTTGCACATGTCAAGGCTGTCTCTGCTTCTCCCTCTGCCACTCCAGTGGATAGATTGGGGGTGCATAAAAGGTTGGAGCACACACATCCAAGCAAATGACTCAAACTAACCAAAGAGATATTTCATGCCATACAACATCATGCTCAGCAACTAAAAGAGAGAAGAGGAGGTTTAGGGAGATTTGCCCTGTTTTGTCTGGGAACTGGCTGGGCATCAGTTACCCTTGGGAGGTGGGAGGTGATTGTCTTTGTGTTAGTTGGTTTGTTTTATTTTCTTTCCCTCTTCCTCCATTTCACCTTTACTACTGAACAATTTCTATCTTAACCCACAAGTTTTCTGTGCTCTTCCTTTGCTCTTCCCCTGTCCCACTGAGGTTGGGGTGTGGGGGATTGGGTGAGCAGCTGTGTGTGCAGAGCTGCCTGCTGGGGTTAGCCCACAACCTTTTGGCACCTGATATGTGGCTCAAGGCCTTCAAAATAATAACAAATTTAATTAGAGTATGCTAGATTAAACTTCTAGCTGTTATACCTGATTAGTTAATTGAGTGACTGCTGCATATCACGATGTTGATGTTTTCCAGTTTTGCTGTTTAGTGTGTTATCACTTTGTTTTCCTTTGCTTAGGAGAGCTATGATAAAACCACCAGCCTTCAGTCTAATCTGATATTTGGGTTTTACAAAGCTATGGTAAAACCTTCAGCCTTTAGTCTAATTTGGTATTTGGGTCTTACATACCTATGATAAAATCACCAGCCTGCAATCTAATGTGGTATTTGGGTCTTACATAGCGATGATAAAATCACCAGCCTTCAATCTAATGTGGTATTTGGGTCTTACTTAGCTTGTGTCCCAGTACTCCAAGAACCATCTCATAGACAAAAACAACTATAACTTTCCTTCTTTTTTTTTAACCTCCAAGAGACATTGTGTGGCAGAAGGAAAGAATAGCAGCTATCTCTTCCTCTTTCCAGAATAGGTTTTTATAGCCTTGATATAATGGCTTTTCAGGCCCTTCAATATTCTCATGTAATCAGACTGTTCACACTGGTGTGTGGTATGTGATCCTGATTTTTATTATTGTTTATAAAGTTAAACAACTAATTGAGGATGCCACAGAGGAATATGCACTAAGGTGATTAATCCCTGGAGTGGCAGAGTGTATGAGAGGAGTTAGGTAGGTGTGTAGGGCTGTTACTGGCTCTGACAGCTTGGGATTTCAAGCTGAACAGGCTTGTAAACCTGCAGACTAATACACCATTTGAAGGAGAGCAAGTGAAATACAAAAACTTCCAAAGCTGTACTGGGACCTGGCCTATGCCTATCAAGCCACCGTCCAGTGCCATCAGAGATGCAAGAGGGTTTCCCGATATAAAAGCCCACAAATGGGCACTGAGGTCTCTTGCTCTGAGGCCTAAATGGGCAAATGGGCACTAAACCAGAGACTAAACTCTCAACTGTAATAGTTGCTTCTGTAGTCAAGAAGAAACAGTGGAAGCAAAAGTCAACTCAGTAAGAGAAGACACAGCGCCTCCTGAGAGAGGGAGAATCAGAAGAGGCAGTCTATTCTTTAGCAGGACAGGGGAGGAAAGAGACAGAAGTCATAAGAGACGGAAACTATCCAGTCCCTATCCATGACTAAGCTGCAAGATAGGTGGAAAGATTTTGTCTGTGAGCAAGATGAACAAATTGCTACCTGGTTGCTCCAGTGCTGGGATGGTGGGGCTAACAGCATGGAACTAGAAGGTAGAGAGGCATAGCAGCTGGGCTCCATGGCTAGGGACTGTGGGACTCACAGAGGGATTGGAAGAGGGGCAGCCACCCACAGCCTCCAGAGTTGGCTGTTATCAAGCATTAATACAAGGTTCCCTCTTAGCGAAGACTTTGTAAGCCAGTAAGGCTAGTGGACTACTACAGAGGAATGTATCCAGTGTCTAAGGGTATTAGCAGTGTCAGAGGTAGTCTACAGTGACATGGCCCCCAGGAATGACATACAGTGAACACAGTCTGTGTGGCAGAAGTCTGTACAGAGTGCACTGATGTCGTGCATCAGCAACCTAGCCAACATGGATTGGCCTCGAATTGAGGCACCAACTTTGTACTGACTGGTCTGCCAGCTCCCGCAGTTTGAAGAGAATCTCTGTTCCCCCTTCCTGCTCTTGGTCTGCATCTCAGCTGCAGAAGGACTGTTCCACAAGGTGCAGCAACTCTAAGAGAACGTGGATAGTCTCCCTCTTTGCTCATGCAGGCCAGTATTTCAGCTACCACAACTTGGCCTTTCTCTGCTCAAAGGAAAGGGAACCATAGGCACACACCATGTGCCACCCTGTGGTTCTATCTCTGTGACTGTGGGGAGGATATGAGGAAGTGGGATGGTGCACCTACGTTGGTTCTGAAAGTCTGTGTACATGAACTGTGGGGATTCTTAGCATGCAGATATCTCATGAGGATCCTGTCATGCCAGAAGCTCCAATTAGCTAGTGCTAGACAACCGCCTAGGGGGAGAAGAGCTCTCAGCTTTCTCAAGCATGATGTCTCTCCTCACAGAACTGACACACCCAATACAACTGAGGAAATATATTCTGATTTTAGTTAGGTATGTTTAATACAATATGGACAATATGCCACTTACTTTTCTGTCTCTTCATCCTGCCCCACTCTGTCACCATGCTAACATTTGTGCTAGCTTTTTTTTTCCTGTAGTTGGCTCAGCTCTGCATAATGATACAGCACCTGTAGTGGACAGGATACACTTGTCAACTATGCTTAGTAGAAACATTTGCATTGGTACACAGACTTTGGAAAAAGTTCTGTTCTCTAAAGATACCAGCTTCTTGAATGCGTTCTTAAAAGCTGTTCAGAGTTGTCTTTTCTTGAAAGAAAGATGTAGGTAAGCTAGTGTACGGAAGTATCCAATTTTAGAACAAGACATGATGTTTCCATACTTCATATGGCTCCTACAGGCCTTCTGAAAATTAATATTTGAAAGTCTCCTTTGATTAGTATTGGATTATTTATCCACAAGAACGTCTGAAGAAGCATTCTTAACATTTCTTTAATCTTTAGGCTGTTATCCAAGTCGCAGAATGAGGACAGCTGTCCTTATTTTTGTCATCTGAGAACTGTATTAATCTTATGGTTGATGCTGAGATCTTATGGCTACATGTCACAGCACCCTAAAGAGAATAATTGGATTTAGATGTTTACTTCAGTAAAGTGGCTTTGGTTATGGGTACATTATTTTCAAGAAAGAAACTTGTCAGAAGAAAATCAGTAGTCCCTTTTCCCCAGCTGAGCTTGTATTTTATTATGTAGCAGGCTCTCATTATGGATGAAGAAGTATTTAGCCAGAAGAATCATGAACTGCAGGTATTGCAGAATCGGATAAAGACATTACTACAGGAAAACGAAGAACAACTGCAATCTTTAAAGGAAGCTCAAGAAACTCATAGATTACAGGTATTTTTCCTCTGGTACACATTACCTGTATCTGTATTGAACCATCCTTCCCTGTATGAATGCATTCATTATTTCGAAGATAGGTCCCTAAGGCTTTTTTTTTGGACTTAACTACCTGTCAATCTTATGGGCATTTTGTTTGAATTAGAACTGTGTCACTTAGTGAGTCGAGTTTATCTACTGGATGATGCACAATAGTGTGATGGCTTGTATATCAGCCTAGCTGTGTCACAGCCTTCCTGTGTAACATGAGGTGAATCGTTCGCTCTCTCCACGCCTCGTAAACACATACCTGTCTCTCCGGATGTGTGTAGTTTCAAGACAGTTAATGAATTAGGATTTTAAAGATCTTTAAAGATTCTTCTGATTTAAAAAAAAGACTATATAGATCTTGTTGGGGGGTTAGAACTAGATGATCTTTGAAGTTTCTTCCAACCCAAAGTATTCTGTGACTCTATGATTCTAAGAGGCTGTTTGGACCCTAAAAATGCCTGGCTGGATCCTAAACATATTTTGTTGTAGCTTTATTAAGAATTAGAGTGTTTTTCCCTTTTGACTTTATAAGACAGAATTTAATCCTAATTTTCTGAGCATTTCCTATTGGAGAAAACTGAGTGACATAACAGAAACACTGCTTGACTTCTTCCTTCTCTAGCTTGCTAGTGAAATTATGATGGGTAGGAAATGTGTAACATTTCAAGATCCAGGAGACTGTAAAAAGAATAGTTAATAGTCTCCTGGTGTTGCCTGTTATGTCAATGATAGATAAATTGCCTGACTTTTGAGAAGAGAAAAGCATGGCTAGCTAGTACTCTCCTCCTTATTCTACTTTTTCTCATTTTTCCTTTTCTTTGCCGATGGCTTGAGGAGAGTCAATGAATGAAAGGTAAGTATACTAGTCACCATCTTTTTCTTTTCTCTGTCACTTTCTTTTCTGTCACTTCTGGCTAGATCAATTTTTGTGTTTTGGGATTTTTTGGTTGGGTTTTTTTTGTTTTTTTTTTTTGGTTTTTTTTTTTTTGTTTGGTTTGGTTTGGTTTTGGGCTTGGTTTTTTTTCAACCTGTACACCATAGTCTCAACTGATTACACTGAGATAGTACTTATATAAATTCAGGAGGATACAAGGTAGAGGTGAAGAACAAAAACAGTCACAGTGTAGGTAAAAGATCATGCTTGTTTCAGTTTCAGAGACAGGGGAGAAGCCTGAGAACTCTCAGGCACCATTTTGGTACTTAATCCACTAAACTGTCCCTTTTGTTTAAAACCGGATAAAATAGGTAGACTAATAAAAGGCAAACACTTCTGTCAAATATTTAAAGCTGTATTCACAGGAATATAAGTACTAATAAGTATTAATAATATATATTCTATATATTATATATAT